TAATCATCAATATTTCATTTATTACAATACAAATACATAAGTTAATAATTCATTCCTGTATTCTTTACATATCGGCCTATATAAATAATCTACGTACATCTCATTGGATGTTGATCTGATATTGAAATGAGCAACTCTATCAATCAATCAATTAATCAAATGAATTAAGTAATTATCAATATTTCATTTATTACAATCTGATATTAACAAATTATTTTTATTCTAATTCAATGATTTAATACAAAATTTTAGGGATTTCCACATTTTACCATTGACTGTTATATGAAATAATATTTATAGTTTGTTATTTTTATAATGCTAATAGATGGTGAACAAATAATAATCAAAAATAAAAATATAATATTTATTGTCAGTGATCCAAAATATCAGTGAAAACCTCTTTCATTTTCTGCATTTGTCCTTTGTTTTTGCTCTCCCAATGGTTGATTGAATCATAAATGAGTATTGTTTGTACCTAAGTAAACAGCTGTTGGATTGTATTGAAGAAGAGATAAGATCATCCCAGCGTAAAATATTCCATTCTTTTATCTGGGCATGCAGATATTATTTTTCGGTATTTTTCAGCCTGTTGTGGGATGGAGTGTTAGCAATTCTTATATTAGCGAACCGTTAATGTACGGTAGAATATGTGAGTATCACTTTGCTTTTGTTTCTGATTTGCTGTCGTGGATTTAAGCCCGAGGAAACCAAGATTGGTTGAGTGGTTCAGCGAAGGCGCAGAGATTTTGAATTGCTTTGATGAGCCATTAACATTTTGAGTTGTTGCTAAATTCATAGTACTGTACCATCATTACTCCTTAGTATTTTATCTGATTGAAGACTTAAGGAAAGATGGAATTACATTGCTCAGGAGATGAAGAGGCACCCATTAGCCTAGAGAATGAACTACCTGAGGAACTGATCCTTCTCATAGATGGTAGGTGGTTGATTAATATTAAGTGCTCTTATGAACTAATGAATAGAGCTGTGGCTTTGTGGTTAATCTTTCAATTCCAGTATAGAGCCCTAAGTTTAACTATGTTCATAAATCACAGGAATTTTCTCAAAACAAGAATGCTACTAAAAATCTTGTACCTGTAGCTTTGGTTATAATCCAGTAAGTCATCTAAGTAAACTGTAGAGTGCCAAATGCAGGGCTGTAGTCAGACAGAAAAGTACAGTATGCCAAGGCAAGCCCACACGTTGGGGAGGAGGATTGTCTTGGGTGTCCTCTTGAAGTGCATTGGTTTTTGGATGTTCTGAGATGGATTCTCTGCCATTTTCAGGCATTAAAAAAAAAGGGGTTTTTTTAAATGTATGTCTCAAAAAATATAAAATTCCTGCGATTACTGAATGACATACCCAAGTTCTATTCTTAATACTGGTTTGGATCTGGGACTAGTCAGTAAAATACTGTAAATACCTTAGAAAAAATGAAATACTAATAGACAATCCAGAATAGGTGTGACTCATCTGCCTCATGCTGGTTACAGCCCTGAAATGCTCTCTCTACTTCAGAATGTCCCGAATCCTAAATGATCGTATTTTTATTCCCAAATGCTCTCGCAGGTCTGGAAAAACATGTTTGTGCCTCCGACCATGAAACTTATCGTGATAAAATGCCTCAGCACCAAATGTTATATGTACACTACATAACCCAACAGTTTATTTATATTTTTTTTTAAATTGTTTTTCCCCAAAATGCTTCCAGGACATTTACTGTATGGTGCCTCCGACTGCCTGTCCATTCCTGTCCTTGTAATTGAGCTTTGACTACAATATATAGTTTTATGATCATCTCGCCACCCAAGGACTTATGCTTCACGAGGGGTGGTACTACATAGTGGGTTGGCAAACTTAGCCCGGGCCCAGCCATTGAGAACTTCCTGACCCACCTGCCAAGGAGTATATATAATATAAATTTAAGTCTTAATTGGAATAATTGTTTAAGACAGAAACTGAGCTGGTCTGAGAATGCTAATTTTAGGTATTTGAGTATGACAGTATTTAAAATGTTTTTCACCTCAAGTTTCTGTGGAACAACTGCCAGGGAAACGATGGACCATCTGTCTGGGAAATGTTGAACCTGTGATCAGCTCTCTACTTCCCATACCTCATAATATTTATACAGTAAATATAATTATATAAATTTCAATTTAAAAATGCAGCTCTCCATTCCAAAAGCCTCGTAAAGAGCCCCTAATAGAGTTTCATGCTTTCCACATGATCAACTCTCCATTCCCTAAAGAGACTTGTTTACTCAGGGCTGGAAATTAACTTATTCCACTTGGTAGCACCGGCAAAATCAAGTGGTACCCAATCAACGAATTTAGCAGGAACCACCACCAATCAGTTATCTAGTAGCATAGTATGAGAATGCACAACCAGCATAATATTTTTACTTTATTGACAATAGCAAATTAAAAAAAATTATGTCTATATTTTACCATTTATTTTAATAATAATATTATTAAAAAGCAGTGTTCTATCACCTAGTGATTGTCTTCTTTTCTGACATGGTTCCAGCATTTCCCACTCGACTCCCCTATCAATATAATCCACTAAAAACATCTGTTATAAGTACTACACAGACAAAAAGCATAAAATATTTATTGACAAAATATGGCTATTTATTTTAGAACTTTGATGTGATAATATATTGAAATCACGTATTAAGATTACTGAATACAGAACACATGATCTTTTAACCAGTTACAAATGTCGATTTTACAAATGGTCTTTGCTCTTGATGATATCGTTATCAACCAAGTAATAATGTCAAAAAAGTATGATTGCATATATTGTTCAAAGCGATAATGTATATTTTGCATATAAATAAAATCAGGTTTATGGTATGTATTTAATAATATCTTTTGCATTTCTGCTATACATGTGCAAAAATATTATTTTCTGTGCACACTTTAAAAATGGTCTTCCTGTCTAAATGGATAAACCAGTCACCCAACGAGACATGGTTTACTGTACTGTGGAGGATTGTTGGTCCCAAATGATCATTCCTGCTGAATTAATTATAATTTGGTTTAAAAAAAACCTTGTTCGATTTCCGAAATACAGTAGATTTTTCAATCTGATAATGTTAAACAAATTGAATTACATTGAAAAAAATAAATTGTTACTAAAAAACTGAACGTTTATTTTGCTATATGATATTTTATACAGAACTAATTAGATTTGCTTGTTGATATTATAGTTTGTTTTTGCAAAAATAACCCTGACCCAAAGATGAGGGTGGGTCGTTTAGTCTAAAACCCAAATTAGTTTGATAACTATAATTTAGTTTGGCCTGACTGACACATTTCCTTTTTTATTCTTTACAAAAATTTTTTTGGAATGGGATAAAATGGTTCATTGTGCAAAACTTTCATCAAAAAAGATAATTTATATATAGCATAGTTTTTTTTTTAAAGAATAGTTTTCATTGTTCTGTCGTTCATTCATTTTTTGTATTAACTTTTTTTGATTCAATCATAATAATTTGTGGTAAGATGCACTAAATTGTGCAGTCAAGCGATGTGGTACTTAGCACCATGATGTCTGTCATACAATTGTTAAAAACATAAATATCTGGCAGTGGAACGAGTCGTGCGAATTAACATTCTTCATAGATAATATCTTTCTATTCAAAGTCATGAGGCACGACATCTTGCGCTTGCTGGCGCACTGATTACAACTTCGATAAGATTTATGATTATATTATTCATTGGTTTTTTTTTTCCTATTAAATAATAATACTATATAATAATGATAACTACTTTATTTAAACACAGGAATTCTTTGTACTGTACAACCTAGTGGGTTTTTTTTCTACATGGCCACAATTGACTAAATAATAATAAAATATGAAAACATATTTTTTTAAAAGGTTTTTTTTTAATGCCAAAAACTAAATGATAAATAATAAAAACTGTAGTAACTTTAATAAGACTTTTAACTAAATTTATTCTAAATAATTCAGTGTACATGCGCATTTGTTGCATTTGATTTTTGAGTGCAAAAAAAAAAAAATTAAAAATAATTACTATTACTCTGACTTATAAGTTATAATAATAATCTTTATTGAATATACACTTTTGTATCCGTGGCACTCACAGAGTTGTGGTGCATTCGAAAGAGAATTACGTAATCTACTCTAAAGTACACAGATTGCAATAAAAACCAAATACAGTAAATATACATTAAAATTATTTACTTAATTAGGGATTAAACCAAAAACATGATAAAGTAATATTGCAAGTGAATAAAAATTTGTTTAGTTAATTACAAAGAATTTAAAATACTGGAATGTAAGGTAAACTCAATGATTTTTTCCCAAATATCATTTTTCAATTCAAATTATATTTTCGATTGTATTGTTTTAGAGAATTGGGAGTTAATAAATAAAACACTTAATCCTTAATCTTAATCCTGGATTTTGGCAAGTCACTTGATGAATAAATATAAACAAATCATTTTTTTTCTGTCTTAAATTCAGTTCAAGAGATCATGTGTTCTCTATTCAGTAATCTTAATACGTGATTTCAATATATTATCACATCAAAGTTCTAAAATAAATAGCCATATTTTGTCAATAAAGGTTTTATGCTTTTTTGTCCTTGTAGTACTTATAACAGATGTTTTTAGTGGATTATATTGATAACTGAAAGGTTAAGGTCATTAAGATGATATAAGTTTAATATTTAATGTAAAACTAAGTCAGTCAACCTTAATAATGATCAGTTCCTTCTAATCACTTCCTTTGATTGCCACCACAAAAAATGGGCCTTCAAGGATTAGGTGTGGATTTGGACAGGAACTGATCCCATGAAACCATCCATGTAGGTCTTAATTGTTTTCCCTACCACAACACTGGTAAAGTATTGTTTTCAACAATGAAGCTGATTGGTCAGGTGGATGCAATCGAAAACCATAGCAATGCTGCTTGTATGAAAGAATTTGTGACTTTGACTGTCAGCGTATTACCTTGTTCGTGCATTGTTTATACTTGTTTGGATCATTTACAACGACCCACCTCACATCCTGGTTTATAATATGACTTCAGTTGGAGTGATTGAGAAGCACTGCTAACCTATAAGGTGGTAATCGAGTGATCATAGTGCATAGTACCAGTTTATTTAGATTACAACGAATGAGAGATAACCATCTGTCAGAAGTCTAAAGTGTCATGTAAAATGGCATGTATACCTGTTGTACACCTGATAGTGCCACAATAGATGGCTACGAGACATCCTTAATAGCTGTGCTTGGTCTTGAAATACTTAGCCCCTGAAATCCACCATAGCATTAACATTATCACTGCTTTGGAATTATAGAAGTTTCTTTGGACGAGTTTTTGAACCTTTTGTGGATATACCTGTATACTATTATTGTTGTACGTTTGTTTTTTAAGTCGCAATGATCTCTGTTCGTAGAGTTTGGCTGACTGAGGATTGGATGAATTCAGAGTACGGGTTCAACTACATGGAATTAGGTTTGTGTTAAACTTTTAGCTTTTATAATCAAATATAGTTTCTGATTCCTTGGAGAAGGAAGAAACCTTGGGAATTGGAACAAGAAAAAATCATGGGAAAGATGAAAACCATGTCTCTAGATATAAGGAAAAATTTTAGAAAGGGTCACGGTATAGGTCAAGTCACTCTTCTCAGTAAGTTTAAACCCTGAATAGAAATTGGGACAGTACCATATGGAGGGAATTGGGATTTTCTTTAGATTATACAACCATATTTTCAATATTTTCTACTGTATGATAAGATTATGCAGATGTAAATTTTCACAGAAAAAAAAGCATTTTGGGTAATTATGAATGATGAGACTCCTTAACAATTTATCAGTGATTAATATTGATGATTTTATTAAGCGCTTTAGAATATTCACAAATTTATCAAAATGTAGGTCGATTAAGTACTTTATGGATGGGATAGTGGGACATAATAATGCTGGAATTACACAGTCCTATACAAAAATCAAGACAGTTGAATATTGGTTGTCTCTGCAGTAATGTCTCTCTCCCCTTTAACTTTAGGAATGAATAATAGTTTTCAAAAAATGATGTAATATAATATTCAATTACACCAGGTAGCCTACAGTGTGGTTCTGAACAATTTGCATATCTGGATATTATCACAGTGAAAATATAAATCAGGGGGAGGTATACAAATGGGTTGGAGGGCCAAAGTGAATTTTGACCAAACATTGGCGAACAAAATTTATACTGTTCATTGCATAATTATACTGTTTTTATATTCAATTCTAATATTGTTTTTGACATATTATTCAAGTGTTGGACCATAAAAACTATCCTTTTTCTAGCCAAAGATGGTAAGCGGTCCGCACGTACATAGGTTTGTCTTGGGTCACAACAAAAATTGCCGCACTTTGCCTACCCATGAAAAAGATCAAGATAAATATTGTGATCTATACCTTCTATAGGCCTTCTATAGTAAAGTAGTAATAGGATGGGCTCTGTTTTGTGTTAGTGGAAATATTACTATAGATTAAAATGTTGAATAGTATCAAAGTAAGAACTACAGTATTTTGCTGGTAAATCTTCTACAGTATGAGAAACATTATTTTCTGTAATTTAGATTCTGTGAAATATTTTGTTCCGTGTAGGTAACCTACCGATAGGATAACCTACCAATAGGAAGTGGTGTCATATGTTGTTTTTCCATACAGGAACTGTTAAAATAATTTGTCAAATAATATTTTACTTGAAGCAAGATTTATTAATAACTTATTTTTACTGATACCGTATTTTTACGGCAGCTGTCCAAATGCACCACCACACATCTCAATGAATGTACAGTATGGACACACTTTTAAAAATCTAAATGTTTTCGGCTTAGGTTCTCATGAATCTTACTGTAATGCAATTAAAAAGTTGCATTCGTAATCTTACAATCGAAGGTTTTGCTGACGTTCTATTTTTAAAATATTTTGTTTATGCACTCTTTTTCTGCTAAACTTGGTTTTCATTCTCCCTAATAAACTCCGCGAATGTACATGAAGTGTAAACTGATCACAGGTTATAAATTTACCTTGTGAACAATATGAAAGGAATGTTTGCATAGAATCTACCGTGAACCACCCCATGTTGAGTAACACAATTCCGCATGACTACTTCAGAGTGGGCTGTGTGCGTTCATGTGTGAATGTCCAAGCTGGTTGGCTTTGCTGGGAAAAGACTCTTGGATTTAATCTATTTTAATCACTGTGTGATTACAGAGGGATTTATCTTGTTAATCGCTCAATGATTAACTGCTACTGTATTACACCAAGAATGTGTTTTGTCAGTCAGTCGCCTTATTTATTGGAGCCATATTAAAATTTGCACATAATGTAACCATAAAAGTAAATAATTTAAAAAAATTTGGTATTGTACTAAACATTTAAAATATTTTTAAAAGACTGCTGTTTTAAAAAGCATATTATTTAATTTTTTTTATATACCTTGATTAAATGTCCATTTCAATCACATTAAGATTCTATTGTTCACAGATATGACTAATCGCAGTAATATTTCAAATATAATACTTGAAAGAAAGACTAAATATATGAAGTAATAATTGGTATTCAATCATGATTATGGGCATTGAGACAGTAAAAAAAATGTGCAGGTTTTTATTTATTTATATTTTAATGTTTTTAACTTAATAATGTTATGCTGTTATATGGTGGAAGTGGGGACGTTTTGCACTTGATCACACAGCGAACTTGTAAAAAATTGTTGTTCTGTAGTGAACCACAACACAAACTTTTATGCTGTTGTGTTTCTTCAGATACAACACAAACAGGAATTGCATTAATAATATTAATTTATAAAAGTGCATAATAACTAAAGATAGATGTTATTAGACAAGGCTTTTATTAGGCCAAATAAACTTAATTGAAAGCTTCATGTCCCCGCCCTTATCAGATTTTGGAGCCTCATGAAAAAATTCACTACAGTAGAACCCCTCATTTACGTACGGCACGGGCCCAGAACCGTTCATAAGTGCAGGTATTCGTAAAATCAGGGTTGACCCAAATTCCTATATATTTGCACTGGTATTACTTACACTGGCATAAACTAGGCCTACAGGCCTACACAGCTAAGTCTGAGGGGGCCTAGGCCTACAGTAGGCAGCTTCTAAGTATTCTGATCCCACTCTAGGCCCTACACAAATTTGTTTTTATCGGACATTTTTACCTTTTTAAATACCTAGATTGTGGGTTTTACTCCAACACAACTTCCATAGATACTTGTTTATTATATATATTGATCATTCAATAAAACAATCAAGCACTATGTTGAATTTTAAAGCTGAAAGCGATGTTTGAAAGAGAAGTAAAATTTGTCGCATGCACATGTGTGAAGCCATAAAAAACACTGACTTTGAAGAGGCCTGTTAGAGGGCCTCCTTCACTTGAGAATTATATAGTACTGTATAGTATGGTGTGTTGTGTTGTATGCATGCTAATAACAGTTAAAATATGAGCAGATTTTTTTTTTTAATATATCACTTAAATTTTTATGATGTCAACACCTTTATTTTACGTTCGTAAAATCGGGAATTCATTAAATCGGGGTTCGTAAATGAAGGTTTCTACTGTATTTGCTATTTAAAAATAAAAAACATTCATTTTCCCAAGAATGATGTCAAGCCTAAGAAGAAGTGGGAACATAAATGGCAGAAATACATTACAAAGATTCATTTTACTTATCTTTTATAAGAAAAATATTTTTATTATTTAGCAGCCTGTTTACTATTAGTATATAGTAAATGCCCTCACCAGAAAATAATTTCAAATCTCAGACATGAATCTAACAATTAATTTTAATTGGCCTTGTACTTTATTTAGAGAACATGCCACCATCTTATATTATTTTGTTTTACCTCAAACATGCGCATTTTTAAATATTAATATAAAATGTTATAAATTTTCTCCATCCACATGCTGTTGGCAGAACCATTGCTAAATTATAAACAAAGCAGAAGATCTTCCGAAATAATGTTAACAATCATGTTTAAAAAAAATCAATTTAATATGAATCACTTAAAATTTAAATTTCAAACATTTTAAGCAATTTAGTCTGACTTCAGAAGGAAAATACATTACAGAATTGTCATGCATTATTAATGACAATTGGATAAAGATCTAGTTCAAATGAATTGAAATGACAAAAATAATTATTTTGTATATGTTAAATTTGATGTGAAGATAGAAAGTTTAACTTAAACTGCCATTATCCCTCCTTTTTGGCAACAAAACTCACTTCAGATTGGCTTATGAATTGTTGTACTTCAAAACACACCTGACAAGTTACAATGTTCTTCACATATAATTATAAAATTTGGAAAATGCCAACTTATATTCTTTATAGAGTAAATTTCTTCTTGAATGACTCCCAAAAATTTGATTTGCTGTTAACTAATTTATGGAAAATGATGTATCAGGATGACTGTGATTGTGGACTCTACTTCGTAAATACTTATCTGGATTAACCGACTAATTGCCTATTCTTTCTCACACCTCGAAAAATAATAGAACACTCGACTCCTGGCACCAAGCACAAGCAGTCCCGCAACCATGCAACTCCCTCATTCTTTTTAGATCTTGCGAAATTGAAGCACCTTCCCATTACGGGAAATTTTTATAGAGCGTTTTGTCTATAGTAATTTGTGTATTTTTCATAGTGTCAAGTTTAACTCTGCAATAAAGATAACCTACCATATAAACCTGATAGTGAAAATAACTGGAATTCAGTTATTATTTATTTATTTGTTTATTCAGGTATAAACACTATACAAAAACAGTTAGCAGCACAGTTGACATACCTGAATTTACAGTGTACAATACAATTAACAATAATTATTGAAACAAAATTGACACAAATCAACGCATTTTCACCAAAAATAAAAAGAAATTCAAACATAATAAAGAAAATGATTAATGAGTGCAAAACAAAGTAACATGTTTTGGAAGTACTGTAGATTTAACTTTACAGTATTGCAACAGATTTATTTATTCTCAAGAACATTAAACTGTTCATTAATAATGCCCCCTCTATAGTACAATTATTAATATGACGAACTTTGGATTGCAAGTTCATGATACATGTGTCATTAGACCATTCCATTTCTTAAGAGGTCAATTTATAATGTGTATTTGCAAAATGTTGAATTTTAAAATTGCTTAAAATGCCTGTCTTTCTGTTGAGTATGATACTAAAAAGTCAGTAAAAACTACAGTATTACCATTCAGGTCATTGACGTGTATTTGAGAACGTTTTAGTAGTAGTTTGTTTTTCTAAGTGTTTTCATAATAATAGATTATATTAAGTATAATATCGTTAAAGTTGTTCATACAGTAATATATAAAAATAAGTAAATTTAATAGTGAATCTCGTTTGAGGTCTGTAATCATTAGCCTCAGGTTCACTAAAAGGGGAAACTGTAACAGAGGCAAGGGTTGGGGAAGGCGCAAACA